ACATCTGATTGTGTCACTTCTTGTAATAGTGTGTTTTTATTTTGTGTTTCCTGAAACTGCAAATTACAAAGGTATAAAACACAACATGAAAATTCTTCTGGTATTCAGAGTTCAAAAATGAAATACTGGCAGGGAGAGTTCTTGGAAAGATAGTGCTGTACAAGAGGTACTTTTTCTTACAAATAAGTTTCTTAATGTTTTGAAAGCTGTAACTGTGAAAAATTTGAAATAATGCACAAATGATAGTGAAACTGAGATGACTAATGAGAGTTGATAATGATATTCGCGAGTCTGATATTCCTGCTACTTCCCATTGTAAATGAGTACTCTTTGTTGATTCTTTGTTGATAATTTCTCCTTTATTGTCTGAGATGAATAGTGGAAATACCGATGCTTGAATCCCAGGTTTGACCGTTCCTTTCTTTTACAACAGGTTTTAGGACTAGTTCAAAATATGAGTGTTTTCCAGTGTCCCAAATGTAAGCATGAGACGCACATTTTCGGAGCTGATGGTGTAAGAGATCTAGCAAAAACCCTTGGATTGGATATTTTAGGTAAGGCTATAGAAATGGGTGTAGTTTTGAAGAAAAATGTAATGGCGTGCTTGAGGGAAGCATTAACTGAAGTGTGGAACTTCATAATCCTAGATTATTCTATATTCAGACGGTGTTCAAATATAATGGAACTAATAACTTAAGTAGCTGAATGTCACAATTTTTGTATGCTCTATTCCTTATCAGGATCATTCTTGTAAATGGGATGTGGACTGCGTATGATGATGCTTCGGTTGCATCTTAAATCTCTTTTGAGTTATAAACAATCCAGAACATGAATTGTTTTGATATTGATGTGCTACATTGCCTGAAAATCATTAGTGATCATACACCAATTTTTACAAATAACTGAGAATTCTATTTGGTCTTGTAAAACATACCTAAACTCTGTCAATAGAAGTTTTCTCATTTATTTCATTTAAATGAATGAGTTGTTACATACTGAAACAAATACTGAAATGCAGTCCCTTAAAGCAGGGTTTTTTTTTTTTATGCCCATATGAAGATATCATGACTCTTGTACGGAAGCAAGCAGACTGTAATGATTGTATTTAAGTGTTGAGATTGAAAGAATACACTGAATTGCAAAATGTTCTTTCAAAAGAAAATTTATCTTTATTGAAAACAAAAATTAGCCATGATTAAACAGTCTGGCATGCCTATAAGCTCAAATATGCATTGGTCTTTAAAACATACATTGCTATTTTTAAAAGGCGTATTTTCAACCTGTGCTACCAGTAAAAAAAAAAATCAGAATATAACACAGCGTAATTAAGTTGGTAAATGGGATAATTGCATGTGCTAATGATGTGTTTCCATGTATTACTATAATTATCTCAATGATTTTCCATAGCTAATTCATTAAAAAGAACCAGGAAGCTCACTTAGAAAGATCAACACAAAAACATCAAGGTCTGACATAAACTTAAGATAGCAAGGCAGCACATAATTAAAGACATGCTTTTGGGCTATCTTTTACTTTTCTGAATATATAACGAGTTATGATCAGAGCCCGGGGGACTTCTGCAGCCCTGGGTTATGTGGGTGGATGCAGATCCTCTGCAAGCGGTTGAATCAAGCACGCATTTAGATACACAAGCACAAATGATGTGCCATGCCGTTGGTCCCACAGATGGGTTTTGTTATTCCCTGTGAGGGCAGAACTGATTGTGATTGTATTTAATTAGGAGTGGTGCGAGATATTTACAAGTTTAGCAGGGGATGAATGAGTTGTATGAAGAAACACAGAGGGAAGTTTACCTTAGTGTGGTCTTTCACTGACAGTTTGAATATTAAGGTTAATGCCTCAAGGGTTAAATTTAGAATTACAGTACTTGATCTGATTAGTATGCTCGTCCTTACAGGGATGACCATTGCATAATAATACATATGGTATTATAAGAATTACTGCTTATAGATACTACGTTAACCTATTCCAAATGGAAGTTTTATGCCAACGTTATTTGAATTCTGCCCAAAAGCCTTGAGAATTATTTTTATATATATATAAAAAATGTATATATTTTACGTCAGTATTTCTAAGTTTATTTTGCATATATTTTGCAACACCTGTAGCTGTTCTGTTTGGTCGACTAAGCACCTAGTCCTCTCGGGAAACCTGACAAAGTTTTAGTTTCGATGATAACATCTTGAAGCATTCTGCAAGCTGACAATGTGCAGCATAGAAAAGTATTTTCCTTTTATTTGCTCAGAAGTGGCTGCCTTTAATATTATTGAATGCCTCCTTTATTTTTGTTTATGACAGAAGACAATTAGCAGTTGGCAGTACACCTTTCAGTGTAGTTCATTATTTCATATACTTTTGATTGTGTTGTGTTTTTATTGTGAAAGAGTGCCAAAGTTTGTGAGAAAGACTCTGTTGCTGGTTGTTTCTCTCCCTGTCTCTGAAATTCCCGTATTTTGCTTGCTTTATTTTTTTTTTTGTGTTAGGTCACCAGAAAGCTATACAATTGAGATACATAATGCTGAGATAATAATTTCTGTACACACCATCCTGACCTTTGTACTTTTCAAACTGTGTCTGGTAATAGAAACAGCAACCGTGATTCTCAGATTATTTTGTTTCACTTCCTACCATAAATTCTAATTATTCTCAGCACTTACCCTTTCTTTGCAGTCAGCAGTAATTGTTGCTATCAGAAAAACTTACCGTGGCAAGTTCCCATCATGTTCTGTAGTGAAGAATAGTGCAAAAACTTCATCTTCCTCAAACCTTTATCACCCAAACATGTGCAGATACTTTTGCTGTCTTTACGGTTCTGCTTGATGTATAACGTTTTGATTTTTTTTTTTTTAATCAAATGCATTTTGCTTTGTCTTCTGACTTGCACTTTTGCTCATACAAGTCCTGTTAAGCTCCTGTTGTACCAGCACATCTTTGTCAGTATGAGTAAGAAAAGAGAGAGGCTGCCATTTTGTAGTAGGACAGTTCTTTTTGGAATTCACTGAGAGTTAAGCGGATAGTGAAGAAGTGTTTTTTCATTAACAAAACATCCTTGGGAAAAAGTGAAGATTAGTTTCTGCAAAGAATAATGGTAGGAACTAGCTTCTGAGAGATTTGCGAAGTTGTTGTTATCTATTAAGAAAGTTTAAGGTTAAAAAACTTTTAAAGGATCCCTAAATATTATTTTTATGAATAAATGAACAGACTTTTATGCCTAAAGAAATTTATTCATGACCAAAACAAATAAGAAACAATTAAATTTGAAGGAAATGGACTGTAATCATCATAAATAACAAATTGAAGTTCTTCGAAGATTCAGCTCGCTAATCATGGAAGCACAGCTTTTGTGTTTGCGATTTGTTTGGGTTTTTTGTTTGTATTCCTGCTTACTTTGGTTCTGTTTTTTTTAATCTCTTACACTATGTCAATTTTCAAACAGTTTTTTTAATGTTTCTTTTTCTGACTGTATTGAACTTCAGTAATTTACACTGGCCTTGCTTTGGGTTAAATAAATGTTGCTGAAGTGTACGACTTAAACTGATACAGTTTCTGAGACCAGTCAAGATTGAAGTAAGTGAAGGCTGTTCTGTCTCCCGATGTAAAATGTAGCTGTATCTTCCAGCAAAAGAAAATTGGTCTTCATTTCACTTCATAATTTTCTATGGAGCAATGAACTAAACATGGGAACTTCAAGTTTTCTTTAGCGCTGAAAAACTGTATTTCAGAAAGTAAGTTTCAAAATGGAATGGGGCTGCTAATTGATTCTCCTTTAGAGCGTTCCTTTCCTCTCTGACAGTTCCTGTTCGTTATAAAAGCAGACTATAAAGAAGATTTCTATTGGAAAGAAGAATGAACTGAATAGTTGTCTACCTTTTAATTGGATCCAAGGCCTAATAAGGACAATAACAAATGCTATTATTTGGAAATTAAGTATTCAAAGAAGTCTTTGAGCAGTGATTAAAATCTTAAAACAGCACTGAAAAGAATATACAATGAGGAGATAGGCTGAACAGCGAATTGCATGATGAGCATTTGCCTAACACTCAAGCGATTTATTTTTTTTTTTTATGTACGCAAAATAATTTGTATCTCAGCCTGTGTTTTCCTGTGTGTTGAAGAGGCAAAAAAGCAAACTGCCTTCTCTAATAAATTGCTACAAAGCATAGTCCTGCCTATTCAGAGAATGAAAAGTCCAAAATGTGTTTGGCATTAATCTTTCTGGATGTATAGAAATTGTACCGCAGCCAATTTTTATTTTAAATGCTTATTTTTTGAGATTAGGTAATTCAAAGTATATACTAAACTGGAATTTGATTTCAAGTCACTTTAGGGCTATTTTAATGAAACGTTTAAGAACTATTAGGTCTTCACATATGTGTGTCTTGATATTTTTGATACAGGAGACATTCCACTGCATGTTAATATACGGGAAACGTGTGATTCCGGACAACCTGTTGTGGTCTCGCAGCCTCAAAGCGATGCGGTAAGTTTGATACACTGTACTTGAAATAACAAAAGCCCTCCCCCAAAAGTGAATGGAGAGTGCTTCTCGTTACTGCTGTTCGAAAAGAAATGTGTATCTGAGTGTAACTTAGGGAAATAAAGTAAAAGAGGGTAGTATCATCAAGTAACTCACGCCCTTCATTTTGGAATGCTGGTCTTCCATTCTGCTTCTGTAGGTGTGTTTTTGTTTTAAGTAGTCTGAATCATTGAGCATAGCGAGGATTTGATCCAGGTTCTGGCATGCCAAGAAGAGGAAGGTCAGTGTCAAGCCTCATGAGACCTTGCAGCTAATGTAGGTCCTCTAAAACTGTCAGTTGAGACTTCGGTAGTTGAGCCTGGAAACTGTCAAAGGGTCCTATCAAAAGATGTTTGGAACAAAACCTGCGTATTGTCAGTACCTGGGTTGTTTTTAGCAGGAAGTGGAGCAATTTACACACAAGAGGAAATGGATTTTTTGGTGCATTTACCATAACAGTTTATTGCCAAAGGAAAATATGAGTTGTTGAGGTGGTGGGAGTCAAATATGCAAGTCTGTAAAGAAAAGCAGTTGCACACATAAAACTTCACTGACACTGAAGAGTAAGATTTTCCTGGCTAGTATTTTCTTTCTCCTCTGCTGGAGTTAGTCCGCCGGGCACTGTAAGGCGGGGTGTTGTCTGCCACATTGTGTTTGCACAGTATATGGCATGATGCAGCCTCACTCTTAACTGCTGCTTAAATGTTACTGTAAAAAAAAAAAGTTATTAATGCTGAATAGATGGTAGAATCAATTAGAGATAAGGTAGAACGTACCTCTTAATATCGGTAACCTTTCTAATGTCATCATTGCTAGGCACATGCTGACATATTTTTTTTCCTTCCTACTCTTTTGAAAGAAAAAAACAAACAGGTGGATTAACACTGTTAATCCAGTGTTATTAACATACTGATTGGGATTCTGGAGGAACAATAACAGTCTTAAAATTGTAATACATCATTTTGTTTTGAAAGAGAAGCAGCAGCACTATGGTATGTTGATTTCTAATTTAATGTGATATTTTTGCTAGGCTTGGGCAAGGCCCATGCTGATCCTCTGTAGAATAATGCAGTGATCGTGAGTCTAGATCATCGTGAAAACGAATCATTCTAATCAATATGGTAGTTTCTATCTGGGAAGTTTGATCAGCAGTGCGAAGGTTTGAATAGATGCATGGCTTAGGTTAAAGTTGAAGCAAAACAGCTGAGCAAACTAAGATAGAAGGCTCACAGCTCACAGTATCCGAAATCTATAATAACCAAGGGTCTGTAGCCTGCAGGACTATCAATTTAAAAATTCAGACATGTAAGATAGCATTCTGAAAAAGACAAGAAAGTCTGTTGTGTTGCCATCTGTTCCTCCTTAGACTATGTTCTTGGTAATGAAAGGAGGGGTTATAAGCACCATTTGTGGCAATTAAGTTAAATATGAGGAGGAATAAAGATTGACAAATAAGTCTGACTCTGGGGAAAACTTCTAATATTCTTCTCTGCCATTGTGTCTGTGAGATAATCATTCTCCTCAGAGAATGAGTGTTTTTTAGATGTCACTGATCTCTACAGAATAAAAAAGAATTTCCCTTTATCCCTGCTTGGCTTCTCATTTTAAAGACAGAAAATGATTGTTGTTCTCTTATATTTTAAAAGAAAAATTAAATTCTTAGCACATAACTGGTGGTGGGAGAGGTCATACAAGGTCAGATTCTAATCTTTAATACATGACAGCCATTGCCATGTTTCTCAAATAAACTAAAATTGTGGCTATTCATGCATGAACAATCACAATTTTTCAGATAGAGAACAATGTGCGCAGAGCTGCTGAAATTATCTCTGCTCTTGTCCCCTAAATTTACAGGTTTTTTAAAATACAAAATTCTGTGCTGTTTCTGTTAGAACACGCTTACAGATCAAAAGCAGAATCATAGAACTGAAATAATACCTAGTAGATTCAAACAGTGGGGAATAAGGGTGGTGATTGACTTCTCAGAAACCCAGCATGCTGTCACACCTTCTAAGCTCTGTCAAGACTAGAATAAACCGTGTTTCTAAAATATGTTAGCTAATACTTTTTTTGCTTACACACCTGCCATGGGCTTCAACTTACCTTGCTGATATATAAAAATACAGCTCTCACTCCACACTAGAATTTTAAAATGTGTAAGCAAACTTGTCTAAATTTGTTATTTTAAAGCTTAGATCTAGTTGGTGGAAAAGGGGTGTTTCCTTTTCACAACTGGCAGGGAAATTACTACCAAATAAAGAAAATTACTTGTAGAATTGTGCATGTGTGAACTTAGAAAGTTCTTCCTCAGGGAAGGCACAGGATACATAAGACTCGTCTACTTATGGAAAGGGCTGACTATATAGCTAAAGGATGTGAAAGTTTAATGGCTGGAGTTCTGTCCTGGTGAAGATTGAGACAGTCCCCACAGAGAAATAAACAGTGCTGGTAAAATGATTTTGCTCTTGGTATAATGTTGTCTATGTTAGTGTTCCTGTCAGATTAGTTGTTTAAAATTGTGGCTTTTTTAAACACTCTTAATTGACAAAACGTTTTTACGTGCTATAGAAATGGAATACTGCTGTACTCACGTGTTAGCCTAAATGGCACGGACTAGTGTAACAGAAAGAGAGCAGACACACTGCAGGAATGGGGAGGGATGTAAGATCCTCTGCAAGAAGCTAATAATTTCTTAGCTTAATCAACAGTGGAGGACTTTCCAGGCCCTTCTGGAAATAATTGAGAGTCTTGGGAGCATTTTCCTCCTCCATGAAGCTGTGGAAGTAGATTTGCTGACCAGGGCTTCATTTTTTTTTCCTCACCCAAACATGTGAGAGAGTCTCTAGACAGCAAAAGCTAGTAAAGGAAAATCAGGAACACTGCTAAAATGGTAGAATAGGGAAAACAGATGAGGAATCACTGAAACCAGGTGGTTTCATCATGCTCAGATGTAGGGGAACCTGCTCGGGATCATGAGAAGGAACCAGCAGCAAAACAGGTGTTTGAAAGAGGCATCCTGAGACTTGTGGATAAGAGGGCTAGAAACACAGCAAGAGATGCAGAACATGATTAATTGCAGTGGAGTCATTCTTCCACCTAATGAGTTGTTCCAATGCCTGGTGAACTCTCCATCAACACTGGTGGAAAAGATAAGTAAAGGTTCCAAAGAGCTCTTCCATCTGTGAGCACAAAGCCCAGAGAGGTATGGGACAGTTGGTGGTTCCATCTTGTGAGGACTTCCTGCTAGAAACTTCTGGGCATATCCCAGCCTTGATGGCACAGTGGATTTGTGAATATCTTGCTAGAACAGACAGGCTAGCTGTGATTGAGCACCAAACTCCCATCTGTCTCAAGATCAAAGAAGCAGCTTAAGCAAATACAAAACACATTTGCTGTACCAGTGTGCCCATTCACCTTCTAAAGCTAGGAATTCTTGTTGGGATAGACATTTCAGGCAGTAGAAATGCTGGAGGCTGAGGCAAGCAGTAGATGTTGTCTCTCATCTGCTTGTCTTGGGAATGAGGTAATTAAAAAAAAAAATAAAATTGTGGAGGAGAGATGATACACCTCTAACGTTCAGGAGGGATAGGGTATTCAAGGCAGCAGAGAAGTCATGAAATAATGAAGTTTAGATTTCACCTTCTTCCCCTTCTCCATTATTAAAGAGATAGTGAGCCCTCATAGCAGAAAGAGTAAAATACATGATCGCTTTTAGAAAAAACGAACAACTTCCAGGAAACATGTAATGGTCAGTTAGTTCCTTAGTGTTTTCTTGACACATATTGTTATGGAAAACATTTGGAATCTATTAAGGAAAAATACTTTGAGTTCATCCTCTTGTTCCATAAAAATCAAGTGGAGTATATTGGGAAAGCAGGGGAAGATGAAAGGAAGCAAACCTGATGAATCATATATAGCTTGGAGTGTTGGATCCCCAGATCACACAGCCTTTTGCAGGTATGCACAAACTTACATGCAGTATGGTGAGGAATTTATGAGTTGTGTAGGAGAAGAGCCAAACTTGTCCTGGAGCAAGGAAACCAGGACCTGGAGCTGGAAAACATGCTTAATGTCATCCTGTCCAGCTTGTGATAAAGACCAGTGTATGATACAAACCCCACATACTTCCTGGGGGAGGTTCTCTTACTGTCTAGTTCACATTTAACAATGTGAAATGTATTCAGCCCTCTTGCAAATTTCATATACTCATATATACCGGTGAAGGATTTTGCAGCCAGTAAATTACACACAGATCTATAAGGGGAGAGAAAAAGCTCAGTCAGGTGGAAAGCAGGGGCATAAGGCATCAGCAGTCTGACGTAACAGAGGAAAGTAAGTCTGGTTAAAAATCCCTTTTCAATTAAATTAGAAATGTTACACACTTTACTGTGGTATTATCCAAAGAGACAGGTGGAATTTGTATTCAGAAGGACTTGTTTTTGTAGAGCTCTATGAAAAGGTGATGTGTGAGTAGGGTGAAAATGCACAACCTTTTAAAGCTTGCAAGAAATAGTTGAAAAAGTGAAGTAGTGGTAGCAAATAATGTTTGCTGTTGTTTAGCTGTCATCAATAATTCCATTTAAAGAGTGGTCTCTCCAGGGTGTGATATCTTTTAAAGAACAGCAAACCCTGGAGAAGGCTGGATGATATGATTTATAATGTGCCTTATCATCAAGGCTTCGTTTGAACGATCACAGTAGCATTTGCTATGTGTAAGTTCGAATCCTTCATTCAGGGTGTAGATAGTACAATGCATCATCAGACCCTCATTTATGCTTCACTCTGCTGAAGAAAATGCTGAGTGGTAGGATAGTCTGTTTGAAGGATGTTACTATATTGCATTTGAATTGCACTGTTCTACTTAACCATGTTTTCTGGGCAGCATGTCTTTTTTGATGTAGGTAATGGCACCTGAGTGATGTACATGCATAATGGCACCTTGGGGCTAGCACTGTTTCCCAGCTGAGGCTCCCTCAGAGGACAGCTTGGCTTTTGAACTGCTGATATATAGGATAAACAGGAAATTTCCCATGGGCACTAAGGATTTTTTTTGAGGTATCAGATTCAGGAAGCATCCAGTTTACTTACCCTTCTCTTCCAGTACACGTTATAATTTATGGATTGACTTTTATCATCTAATTAAGTCACCTTTCTGGGTTGAGACTTCATTGTAGCTTGGCAGGAGTTGCTAATACACGCAAAGAAGAATCTTAGGGTAGAACTGCCCTGAGGAGGACAGAGTGGGAAAGGCTGCGGGCCTCTTGCATCTATCAAGAATTTCTCTGGGTGACATGAAGCTTTTATCTGAATTGGAAGCTCATTTGAAGCTGTGTTTATCATCATGCTTTTAGTGCCTTCTGAGTTGACCACAGTAAAATACAGACATCGGAGGGCCATTCCGGTCATGCACTGAAGGTTAGAGTTGTGTCAAAGTAACAAGCAGTTTCCATGGAAATTAAAGCTATTTAAAAATCTGATTGAACTGGAAAATGGACTGTGGTTGAGCAAAGAGAGTGCTAATAAGAACAAAAGCTATCACCTATCATTTTCTTGCAGATAGTAGCTAAGTCCTTGTTATAGCCACTGTTTGCTTAGTTGCTCATGGTTGCTAGTTTCCTCTAGAAATGAATGAAATATAAGCCCCTAACAGCTCAGATGAGCAGATTTAAATACCTTATCCGTCATTAGAGGTATACTGGCATCCACAGCATTTGGCATTCCAGACAGTCAGGACTTGCATAGGTCCTCCCTTGGTTTGCTGGGCTGGATAAAGCATCTGAGTAGTCCTGGAGTCTCATAATCACAAACAGAAGCTAGAAACCATGTCAGTACTGGGATTTACACTCTATGGTGTGTTTGGCTCACCACCAAGGGATGGGATCAGTATGCTTTTTCTGAGTTGCTGGTCTGAAGTTGTTTGTATGCAGTGGTTTGGGTGAAGGCGAATGTGATATTGGCTCCTACCTGTTTTGACTTTGTTGATGGGTAAATTGTATTCTGTATTTGTGTGGCCATTGCACAGGACACTGGAAGCTGCTGTGGTGAGCCGTTTGCAGGCCAAGATCTGCACTTCAGTGAAAGGCAAACTAGCAGGTCGAGCCAAGCCAATCCATGAGAACAGGGCAGAGTCAGCTGTGACTCGTATGGTCAGTTTGCAGTAATCTTGGCAGTGATGCATACTTCCCTCATGGGTATGATTTTTAAGGCGAGTGAAATGCCATAACTGAAAGCTCGTGTTTCTTTAGGAGTACTGTAGGGCTTAATTAGATGAGCTAATAAAAAGACTTGAGTTTAAATCTACTCCATGTCTATTATCCCGTGACAGAGTAATGAATCAGGATGTTCTGATTATTTAGGCTAAGTAGGACTTTTCAGTCTTTTTCCTGATGAACTTCATTATTAGTTCTCTGTTTCCTACTTCAAGATCTACGCTGTTATTAGTCACTTCATCATCTGCTGTGCCCTTTCAGTCCTGAGGAGGTTTGTGATTTCAAAAATGCTGCCCTGTTTTCTGGCAGTGTTTGTACCAGTGTTTGAGAGGAGAACAGTCTCTCGCGTGGCCATTACCCAGCTCTTTCAACTCTCTGAACGTCACCTTCCACCTCTACCTCTGCTCTCCCCAGTGCTCCTCAGATCCCATCTAGGCAGCGTTTGTAAGGAACAAGTCTGGTCACTTTGAGCATTCTCTCTTCCTGTGCACTACTCTTTCATCCTCTCAAAGCAGGGAGAATGTTTGGCTTCCAGCTAACTGTTATGTTACTGTTAAATATGAAGTTGTCCATCTGCAAAAAAATGCTTTCAGAAAGACAGTCTATAAACCACTCCTTTAGAGCTTCCAAACCATAAAGGGAAAAACCGATCTGTAAAGTTCACTTTTATCCTATTAAAATGAAAATGGTTGTGAGCAATGAATAAGAACTCATGCTTTACTATTTCTCCTTTGGCTTTCCACCTGAAAAGGAAATAAAAAACCCTATCAATTTTCAATTGCAATCCATCTTCTTTTGCTTAATAATGATGGAGTAAACAGCTGAACTGAGCTGTGCTCTCAGTCTATAGATGCTGATTGAAAAGATCATGAGTAGGAGCAAACATTCAATACGTGTAGGGTTGTTTTTATGTAATGAAAGGTGTATTGACAGTCACTGAGATTCTGTTTAGACCTTTCACATATGTATGTTGATGTATGTTACTGCTGATAGACAGGTCCTCACTCATGGCTGTATGATTTGTTCAAAGATAGGAAAGTAAGGCTCGAAAAGTTGATTTTGTCAAAGGTTACTGGTGGAGTTCTGTAAGGACATGTATGAGATACTGTTCTGTTCAACATAGAAAGTAGTGGTCTAGGCAAACAAAAAAGATGCTTAGCAGGTAAGACTGATTGCTGGTAACACTAGGGCTAGGTAATGTTAGCATGCTGGCTACAAAGAATTGCACCAGGAACCTCCTGTTACGAAGTGACAGATCAGCTACTTGGCAAATGAAAGTCAGTGTACATTGTGAAATTGTTGCCCAGATACTCATTAACAGTGTTTTGGGGGAAAATAATTTATTGGGATCTTGACAACGGGTAACACATGAGCAATCAAGTCTCCCAGGAAGGATATCTGGTTGCTCTCTGGATGGCTGTGGAAGTCTGTGTTCCAAGGACCCTTGCCAATGGTCTCTTCAGCTGGATCAAGTGAGATTCCCTGAACTGCTGTTCAGCTCAGTTTTAACAATGCAGCTAGTCCGTGGTCCTATATCGCTTCTACAGCATATGCATGATCTGTTGGTGCTGATTATCTTGATTTTTGTACAGAACATCTCCCGTCTTAACTATGTGCAAAACCACTGTCCTATGTTACTATTTCTGCACCCACAAGAACAGTTTCTATAGTGTATTTCTAATTCTCTGTACAGTTTGGTCAACTCTGGAGCAGAAACAGCCTGGGCAGTCTCTAAAAGGGGACAGATTTTCTATGCAGGTTATTAATTGGCTCATTAAAACACGTGAACTGATCCGTGCAAAGTGGGAGCTGCCTGTGGGACTCTTCAAGATAGTCCAAAATTCCCACCTGGAGCACTCCTACACAGATTAGTGAAATACTTAACTGCAAAGGCAGCTTGACTAAAGTCTATCACCTTATTTCAAGTTGATCAATTATCTCATCTGTGCAGGTGGCTAAGCTGGGGAGTAGCTGGACCACCCGGGGGATTAACAGCTAAGTGTTGTGGGGGTTGCAGCTGGGGCTACCCAGCTGCGCTGCAATTATACCCATAGGAGAAGTCTGAATTTCATGCTTGTGACTTAAGTTCTGTACTTCTTGCCACAGAGTCACGCATATGGGAGAAAACAATCCTGGTTTGGCGTCTGCATTCCTTACAAACTTGGAAAATGTCTTGACTTTAGTTTTAAGGTGATGTGAGCACAGAGACTATGAGGTGCTGAGCCTGGGAGTGCCAGGAAAGAAAACCCTACAAGCCAGGACCAAACCCTAGATGAGAAGAAGACATGTTAGGGATGCCTGGCCCAGCAAAAGGCTGCCACCTGGTTCAGACCAGTGACACTTGGTGCTAGTGGCCCAACTGAGAGACTGACCTCTTCCTGCCCCTCAAGTCTGGCCTCAGGCATATATCAACTTGTTTGCTATTTTAAAGGCTCGTCAGGGATACAAGGTCTAACTCGAGGTTAGAACCGTCTAAGAGTGCTGCAGGAGGCAGGAGAGATTGGTGCTGTAGGGAATATTCTGGTGATTTCTTCTAGTAAAGCAGGGAAGGTCGTCAGTGTGGGCTCCATATGCAGACGTACCTGAGAAGGTGAAGAAGTACTGTGGTTATAGTCTACCAGAGCAGAAGCAAGCTGAATAGCAGGGGAGTTTTCTGTTGTACTAGAGAACCACAGAACATGGTGCAAAAGCTGGAAATTGAAACGTGACAAGTTCAAATTATACATCAGGTGTACATTTTTAACAATGAAAGTAAATTCTGGAACAATGTATAAGATTATATATATACGCACACACAAAGATACTCCTTTCATTGAAAATATTTATATCAAGATTGGAGACCTTTCTAAAAGGCATGTTCCATTTCAACTGCAAGTTGTTCAGCTTGGTGCAGGAATTATTTGGTTTCATTTTGTGATTTGTTCTGTGTTGGACCTTAGGCAGTGTTTTTATAGGTCTCTTGACATTAAATTTATGAATATTTAACGTTAGTCTGATCATGGTCCTAGCTGTGTCATTTTTTTAAAAGAAGGATGCCTGTTTGGGCGGTTCCTGATAGTCTTACAGTTCTGTGCTCTTCTGCCCTCCAACTTGGAGCACCCGACCAAATGCCATAGGTGGTGTGAGAGGGAGATCTTGTTGTACGGATTCTAGTGCTGCAGAATTAGTTCTTTCTTATACCCACTTTAGTCTCTTGGAAAGATGTCTCTTTTTTTGAAAATGCTTTAATTTTTAATGTCTGTATAGAAAATTCTGTAGTGTAGGCCGTAATGAATTAATTATTTTTTTTTAATGTCATTGCTTTCTTGAATTTTCTATCTCAGTCCTCTACGCTGCACATCTCGGTCTTCAGGGTGAGGGAAGTTTATAACTAATAGTACCTGTGGGACTAAAGAGTCTCTTTCCTTCTGAACACCTTGTCTCCAGAAGTATATTGATTCTGTTTGCTGTTTAAAACAGATTGTTCAGTCTGGTTCCAGTCTCAGAATAATGCTAAAGTTAGATTTTATGTGGCCTGCCCCCCAGGATTTTAAATAGTGCTTGTACTTGTTTTATGTATTAATGCATCATTTTTCCTGAATACAAAACTGGCTGAATTGAGCCCGTTTATTGTAACATTTTTCTTTTCCTTTGAATGTGTGTGAAACAACATATAACCTAACAAGATGTAAAATACTCCTTTTTATAGAAAATGAAAGGTGCTAAATATATGTTTCTGTTTTTACAGGCTAAAGCCTATCTAAAGATAGCTAAGGAAATAGTAAGACGACTGCCAGTACCGCCTGCTTGAAGTGTTTATCACTGAAATGTACAAAAAAATGAGCTTTTGGTGCGACCAATGCAGAAGAGTCCTGCTACCTAATTATGTGGATGCCATATTTTAGTTCTAAGAACTTTTTTTAGGAGTTAATTTACCAGAATTGAAATTATAATTGTGATATTTACTGTTTTTCAAATCATTATTTGGCCATGTCCAAATGGGTTGAAGTATGCAAAAGATGATGACAATATCTAACTGCTGGACTGTAACATCATCAAGCAAGAAGGGATGAAGTACATTTTTCACGTGTCCTGTTTTAAGATAAAGAATGAAAATCAACTGCTCCAGCCAAGCAGAATGAGGAGAGGGGTGCCAAGGCGTAAGTCCTGCTTAAAAAATGACATTTGCAATACTCTAATTTCTGTCAATTTTGGTTCAACTTTTTACTTTGTTAACGACCAGACTGACGTTAAGTTCTGCAAAATTTTAAGAAGCAAGTTCAGTTATGTAACTGCAATCTTCTGTGTGTTCATCTTAAAGGAAAATAAAAAATTCCACATATAATCTGAAGAGTTCTTGTGATGGATCGTGAGCAAATTCATTCATTATTGGGTAACATTTGATCATGAGGCCATTTGCAGTTTAGTGGAGAATGGATTACATGAACCTGAGGCTTATTTCTTGACTGCTGTGTATTATAATGGACCTGGAGAGAAGACTAGGTGACCAGAGCCTTCACTCAAAACCAGACCTTGTGCCTAAGCTCAGTTTGCCAGCGGATGCAAATGATCAAGATAAATTAAATTTATGGCTGCATATTCCTATTACAGTGCAGCAACTTGGAATTTGAGTATAAAGATGTATTTTTGAAGTAAAGAAAAATTTGGTCTTCAAACCCTGTGGCCTTCTGGTTTGTTTTTTTACCGCCTTGTATCTCTGCGATCTTTATTTTTGTGTTGGTGTGTGGAAGAATATGCCTTCAGAGAATGAGTCTCCATTTGCAATGAGATGTTTGAGTTGACATTTAGGCTTTTTCATTTACATGATCAAGTATGGGTATCTTAAACATACATCTTAACCATACCATACTGGGAATTTAACCATACTAGGGAATTCTGCTGTTGACCTCTGTGGGATCAAGATTTTCTGTGTACTCCAGATAATTATTCATAATTTTGGATGTAGTTGTTTTGTCTTATTGAAGTGATACAACATAAAAAGTTGATATACATTTACATTAAGAATATTTAAGTAATATGTACCCAGAATTTACATGGAAAAGCTAGAAACAAATTACGGGTTAAATTTCAAGCTTAGGTGATTTTGTAAACATGTAAATTATGTAGTCCGAAACTCCTGATTTTTTTTTGCTTCAAGTGAATCTCTGAACATCCTTGCCTGCACCCTCCCCCATGAGTTCTCATATGAGTGTTCAGCTTTTTCAGTAGCATATTACCCCAGGCCTGTAGAATTGTCATGATTATTCACATCCTTTCAGTTGTCTAATGTTTTACAAAAATTAAAGCTGGCTTAGTGTTCTGCCCTTTCATATTTTATTGATAACTTATTGGTTTTTTAAATTGAGTTTTACCGCTACACATATTATTTATTCAGTTCTGCTTTACATATTGTAATCGTTGATATGTATGTCTAGAAATAATCCTGTGGTTGTTTTGGCATAGTATAATCATAAATTTCAGTGGAAAAACAGGGATTTCTGACTGTGTTTTAGCAAAAGACTGTGATACTCTCTGAATTTTGGTATTTATTATTTTCTTTCTGTTAAAAAGAATGTCTCTGACACCCAGTTCATGTTGAGACTGGGTGAACAATCAGTATACAGATATAAGGTTGCTTGTTTTCTGTTTCTTTTCTTTCTCATTATTTCTTGGGTTAGTTGAGGGATGAAATTTGATTTCAAATATCCTTTTATTTTTACTCCTTTTTACGTTTTTTTCCCCCCTTTTAATTAAGTCCTGTTGTTTTGCTCTGTTGAATCTTTCATCTGCAGAACTATTTTGAATGCCTTTATCAAGAAGAAACTGGTTATAATGATTAAATATACTTTCTAAGCCAATCTGAAAATTCATATTTAACATTTTAGGGGAAGGATTGCACAATGTAGTAGGCGAAACCTGATTTATTGATTAAAAATTGTCCGTTATGTTAAAAGATATATATAATTGTGTGGAGTGGGTAGGAACATTTCTGCATTTAAGGATAGCAACGGTCAAACCAATTTTAAAATGAGAACATACTTGCTTTACTTTCCTCATTCTCATGAGTGAAAAAGTGTCTGTTTCCCAGCCCTTCTCCTGCAAAGGAAATGAAGAGCGTTGACAGTGTTATTGCTACTTAATGTTATAGAAATGCATACTCGTGGTTTTTTTGTTATACAGTACACTCTTAAATACATATTAGTGAATTCTATTCAACATGCTAGACTTGAGATGATAGTACATAAAATCACTGATGTAAGTTATTGGATCGGGGGTGGTGGTGGTTGGATCAGTCGGAGGTTGAGCAGGAGACAGTGGCATTTAACCGTAGTTTATAAATAGAGATTATAGAACTTGACACACAGTGTTGTTTGCTCTTTTCAACTCCAATTTTTTACTTTCATTTCTGTGATATTTCCTAGTGTGCCAGTATGTTTTTTCTAAAAATGTTAATCCTGGCAACAGGACCTGGCTTTCTGGAGCTGTATGGGTAGCTGCTCTTTGCTCAGGAGCAGTGGAGACTTACTGCAAAATGTCTGTCGTTGTGCGTTACCAGCACAGAATTATTAAAGTCTGTAACTCTGCAAGCGGCAGTCACACGCTGCAGGATCCCACAGAGGAAGAGAAGGAAGGAGGAAGGCTGGGGAGGTGTGGGGCCAAGCAGGCAGGAGTGGGGACAGGCGCGAGTTTTACCTCCTGTCTAGGTTAAGAGCAAAATTCCCACAGTTGCCTTGCATCACTGTCAGAGTTATTTTGGCTTTCACGACACGGCCCTGCGTTTGGTGACCACCGTTCTTGTGTTTGCAGATAATTCCTCTTGTTTCTTGGGTGAGGAGCATATGGGCTGTGTCTTAACACACTGTGTCTCCTGGCTCACAGAAGTTTTGGGTTTGATGAAATTGAAGCTGAAAGAGGGTACAGAATTGTTTGTGTCAGTGAAGTATTTTGCTGTAAAATTTTTGCCGCTGCGTTCAGGTCATTGTGAACTGTTTAGCCTTCGAGACCAGGGTTTGTATAATCCTTCAGATATTAAATTTCTCACCACAACAACAAAATTATTAATTGTTATTTGAAGTTATGAGAGGAAACTAGTTTGCAAATCAGTTTTTCTCAACTAAAACATTTTGACTTTAACCTACAACCCATTTTAGTTGCTCTGATTGGTGATCGTGGTGATGAAGTAATGTTAATACAGAGAAAAAATGGCAGAAGCAGGTAATCTTCAATGTATTAAGAAAAACCCCTTCTAATTCTCAACTTGCTTGAAATTAGTTTGACTCACTTGGCTGCAATGCAGCAGGTGAATCCCCCCATAATATCTTTCTCTAGTAAGAATATGGTTTTCACCTCGACCTGACTCCCTGTTGGGTTTTCCCCATGTATGGGGCTGTTGGTGTCGATGAGGGTAGTTTGATCCGAGGCAGGTGCTACATTCTCATTTGTTGGTAAACTTTTTTCAGGCTATTATTGGGCCCCCTAATGTAAACCAAAGGCTGCCATCAAAGAGGGAAAGAAAGGAGTAAAGAAGGGGTGAATCTTATGCTAGTGGGAATATCTCCAGGTTCCCAGAGACCCTGCTGTAATAATACTGTGTTTGCAGGTGCAAGAATGTATGTGGGAGAATAACAGCAGGAGAGCAACAAGAAAGGAAAACCCTTCTGTTGCTTAGGTGAAAGATTAAAGAGCTGTGAGAGACTCTGCGGGCTATGGAACTGATGTGCAAAGGCTAAGGCACCAAAGATGCTGTGTGACAATATAATAGGGATTTCAGTACTTACTCGAGCTGTGCAAAGCTTCTGTCGGAGCATCCCCAAAGCCGAGACTGGCATATGAGCTCCGTACCCATGTAACCCAGTTCACAGGCACTTCTCTTGTCCTTCCAGATACCATTGGTGGGGATAGGATAGTTTTCCATGAGGTTTGCAGTATTTGCCCAAGGTGCAAGAAACTTGTTCTACGCCTGGCTTTGGCCGAGAAGGTTCAAATCCATAGCTCCTAAACTTAGGAGAGGTCCTTGGCCACCTGGCTTAGTCTTTTTGAAGGACCATCAAGGAGCTTTCATCGCTTCTTCTGATAAAACTGTATCACTTGTGGAAGAAATAAGGAACATCATCATAATCACAGCTGATTATTTTTTTAATCTATTGACTTGGGCTAGACTGTGATCCTTGCTCCAGCTTTATTGATGATTTTTACCTAACGAGTCTGTGAATAAAATGATCCATTCTGAGGGTAATGTCTGGCACTGTAGCTGCTTACAGGCTTGAGAAAATGCCGGGAGGTTCTGTGTTTGCATCTTGATACCCACGTGTCATTTTAGTTTCTCATGGCCACATCTGGGCCTATATTGCTCTCGTCATTCTTATTTAACAGGAATGCTTCCTAGTGGAGATGGTTGGTAGAAAGGCTCCTGTTTAAGGACGCTTTACAATAAGATGAATCTAAATTGCTGATTTAATTTCAGAATTGACTTATAATGGCAGGAGTTATAATGATGATTTTATTTTATTTGGCAGCATATCAGCCGAAGCACCGGTATGTCAGCCACATGTCACAAAAACACAGCAAAAGAAAAAATTCATTCCGAAAGTAGTTTTCAGCCTAAATTTAAGACTTATCTTTTTTTGTGGGTTCTATTTTACATTATAAAGATATTAAGTCTGAAGAAAAGGTATATTCAGAGGTCTGTATTTTTCCATTATCTTCACGTATTCAGGGAGGCTTTTATTTTCAGGAAGAAGAGGACAGGCACAGCCTGTCATTCCTTATGCACCTATTCCTCTTGCTTTCTTTATTTGTATGAGTCTGGAT